TATATGTATATATGTAATATATAAGATGGATATTCCGATATTGATTCTCAAACTAATTATATTACATTTATATTGTTTGTGATAAACATTTTTTGTGTAGTAGACAAATTATTATTTTATCCGTATTAGAAAAATTATTACTTACTTCTAATACTTTAACAGTATCGTGTAAATGTTGTTTCGATCGCACCACTGTATCGACGAGTTTACTTTTCTCCTCAGTTGCGATCAATCGTGATTCGATGAGAGCCCATTGCGCTTCCAAGTCTTCCCAATGTCGCGATAATGCCTCGAGTGCATCTCTGCGTCCTTCGAGTCCCGAAACTAATTCGCGCCATTGCGAATTGATCTCGGAGAGCTGTGATTCTATCGCTTTCTTGTTATTGATATCTGCGAGTCGGAGGACTTCTTGTCCACGTTCGTTTAGAAGATCCAACTCAAATTGTTGATTCTGCGGAAATAAAAAGACATTTAAAAATACATGTAATTAATCAGTATCGAGCGTAGTATTATATGTCGTACATAAAGCAATTTAATTTTTCTTTTAAATATACGTATGCAAATGTAAAAAGAAAAATTTATTAGACATTAAAATTTTTTAGACATACTTTTTTATTTTATACATAAAAAATATTTTATTGCAAATATCATAAATATGAGTTCAATATGACTTGGAGATTCTATTTAATGTAGTATAAAGATTTATAGACTTTTTTTAAATGTAATATAAAGAATACATAGTTGTAATCACAAAAAAGAAGAAAAAATTATTTATATCTGTATTTTTTTGACACACCTGAATGTCACTCAGAGCATGCGTAATTTTCTGAATATTGAATTGTAATCCAGCTAATGTTGTGACCGGTTCATCCGTGAATCTAGTTCTGCTGATAACGGCGCGAACACGTTCCAAGCTCTGTGTATAATCTCTCCACATCTCTGCACCCTGTTCCAACCGTGAACGTTGAGATTTAGCAGTATTAAGAGTGTTCTTTAACAACTGAGTATGCTGCTGTTGTTGAGCACTTAGTTCTTCCTGCTCATAACTATCCAAAGACGGCCAGATTTTATCTGCCACTTGTTGAATCTGTTGTGACACGAGTTCGCGTATCGAAGATTCGGAGCTGAAATATATCTAAAAACACAACAGAAATTAAATTAAACTTATTTATTCACGGCAATATTAATTTCGTAAACAGTCGAAATTAATCTCATTTCTTAATTTAAATGATTCAAATAATCTAGTTAAAAAAGCAATAAGAGAAACTCACCTTATGTTCTTCCAGATCGCTAAAAATATTTTCAAAATCGAGTCCTTCTTTATTGCTCTCGAGCCGAATCTCAGCTTCACGAGTCCAGCTGTGAAGCTTATCTGTAAGAGCTGCGTAATCCAATCTCATCTGCATGTTACTCTCGAAATAATTTCCACGCTCTTCCATCTCTCGCGGTAAGGATGTCAACAAGGAAACTGCTTCGCTTAGCATCTCCTTTAAGGATCCAGGCATTCCTTCTTCATGTCGCAATGATTCCTTTAGATTTCTGATTCTGTCTAGATATTCGTTTACGTCAGCGCAAAGGGTATGATGCTTTTTTAATTCTGCTTCAACGCTCGCTGGATCTCTCTCCAACAATGGCCTAGACTTAACTTCTTTCTCCTTGCTCTCAAGCCAGTCAAGAATGTCTGCCAATTCACTAGCGAGTCTTCTATGCTCAGCTGCCGCCAGTTCGTGTTGCTCTCTTTGAGTTTCCACTGCCCTTCGGAGAGCCTGTAATTGTTGTTTCAACGATTGCAGTTGTTCCGTCACGTTATTCCTATCCACAACCGAACCTTCCGCCGCTATTTGCTGTCCTTTGTCCGTCGCACTAGCGAGAGTAGCTTCGCATTCCTGAATTTTTAATATAGCATCGTCGTACCTATTGAATTTTTGATAATTAAATTAATTAATCATTAATAAATCATTAATGAAATCAAATTCCTATTTAAAGTTTAAGGTACATTGTTTATTTAATATATGATATATCCACAAATACAGTACCTTTTAATTTTCTCTTCCGTTGTTTGCCCAGATTTCTCAATATCTCGAACAATTTCAGTATACTTGGCAATGAAAGTAGTAATCTCTGCGATCAAGGCGATAAATTGTTGCCGTAATAATAGCAACTGACGAAGTTTCGCTATTTGTGCTTCGAGAATTCTTATTAAATCATCTTGTTGAGCTAGAACGCCATGTAGATCTCCTATATTAGCAGATTGAAGATCAGATAATTTGGCTTTATTTGCTTTTAGATTATCCAAAATTCTTTCATAAGCGGCCAACATTCCTTCCACATCTTCTACGCGAGCACCGATCGGTTTATTCAGATCATGAAGTTCTTTCTGAATGTCTGTCATGAATTGAATTGCCTCCGCCACTCTCGCGGCAGCTTCTTCAGCTTCATCTATACTCTTTTGAAGTGCGATTGCTCTTTCATTTATCACATCGGCCACTCGTCCGTGAGCTTCTTTCATATTTTTCAATTGTTCGCTCAATTCTTGCTTATCGGCATCACTCACAGTCGGTAAAATTGATTTTCCTTGTTGATTTATTTTTTCTATGTCATCACCGTATTCTTGTGCCTCTTTCTTCAACCGATCGTACTAAAAAAGGAAAAAATATTTGTATTCTTGCAAAAGATATACAAAGTGCATCAAAATCTCGGTGAATTTTTTTGTTTTTATAAGGAATATATACATACCTTAGCAAGTTGTTCGCGAAGAATGTCAAGACTGGAAGGTCGCAACTCGGAAGAGGTAGCTACTTCAGCTTCCTTAATCCATCGTTGACACTTGTCTAATTCACTTTCAAAAGCCTTGCGTCCCTGAAGAAGATCTGCTAACGAAGCTTGTTTTTCTTTCGCCTCCTTCTTCAACTCCTCGTAATCCTTACTTAGATCATCCAGAAGGGCCTGGAGTTTGGCGCGACTGTCTGCATTACAATCTTTCAGTAAACTGTGCCCTTGTTTAAGAATATCTTTAAGATTGCTTTCGTTAAAGGAATCGATATCCGCTTCCAATCCGCTGTGTTGTGCAATATCTTGCTCAACTTTCGAAGCTCTCAAAGGCAAATATCCGCTAAGTTTCTTTAAATCATTGCCTTTGGACTTTATCCAATTTCGTGCTTTTTTAATATCAGTCTCTAATTTGCGACGTGCATCAGCTGCCGCGCTCGCGATAGATATTTCTTCCCTCAAAATGGCGCATAATTCAACCTGTTCGCCGCGCAAAGATTTCGTGTCAGCTTCTAATTGCTGCTGCTCGCTAGTTTCCAGTTCGTTCTGCATATTTCCAACTCTCTTTTCCAATGTATCTATAATCAATTGCTTTCCATCTGCTTCTTTCAACATAGCCTGTAAAACATTATAATTTAAAAATAATATATATTAATATTTTTTTAGGAGAAAATAACAAGAAAAATGAAGAATTATACCTTGAGAGTGAGAAGCCTTTCTTCCGCCTGTTTGCTTTCGAAGCCAAGCAATTCAGGCATCTTTACTTGTTGCTTTTTCTGTCTAATCCACTCTCGATTCTCTTCGATCTCTCGCCTAGTTGCTTCGATGCCTTGTGCCGTCATCTCTAAGACCTGTGCTTTTCTTTGTAATTTCTTACCAATGTCCGCGTATCGTCTCTCTACCGATTTAATTTGCTCTTCTATTTGCTGAGAATCTAGATTGCTGACCGAGTCCATCACTTGGTCGCCTAATTTCTTTATCTCTGCCAATTTCTCTGTTCCCTGAGATTCAAATTCGGTTGTAATGTCTTTGAGATTTGAAATTTTCTGACCGATAGTCAATCCACTACCCTTCTCAATCATGTCGACTTTCTTCGATAGACCATCAAACCATGTTTGAATATCCTGCACTTGTGATCTGTATTTCTGGATGAGATCCTGTGCTGCTTGTTTTCCGGCGATAGCTTCAGTCAGCTCGGTTTCTAGTTTGTTCAATCCTTCCTCAATATCATGATCCTCTTCTTGGATTGACAATTCCGTTAATGCACGAGTGCGACGTTCGCCTACATTGGTGAGCAATTCGTTCATTGCCTGTAACTCGGCCTGGGCAGCCTCCTCTCGCAGCTTCGCTGGTCGTGACTTCCATTCAGCGCAGAGGGCCCGTTGCTGATTAATCCAAGCACGAAGCGAATTCTTTTGTCGCAATTGCTCCTCTAATTCACCTACCGTTTTCATTACATTTGCCAAATGCGTTTGCATCTAAAGAGATACATAATATAATTTACATTAGATATATATACGATTTCAATTTATACTGTATTACATTTAACAGAAATAAAAAATTTTTATGTATAGAAAAATTAGTATGAACAAATTAGATAATGTTAGACAGGTCATTTATGTTTTTCATTTTCTATATCTCTACATTAGATTTTATAATGTTAATTAACAGTTAATTAAAACATTTTACAGTTTATTAATTACACCTACTAATTTTATCTAACTGAAATTAAGTACATACCTGGTCAATGAAATCATCGAGTCTTGTTCTAACTTCGACTTCTCTCGCGGGGACTTGAATAGGCGGAGCATCAAGAGGACTTCCAGGTCTAGAGACACATGCCGCCGCAGCCTCGCAAGCTTCTACCGCTAATGCCAATCGAGCTTTTTCGGCTTGCAGCTTGTTGTGTAGAGTTCGAGCACTCTCGAGGCTCTGCTCAGCAGAAATTAAATTATTCAATGGAGCTTCTAATCCTTGAGTCATTTCCGTCTCATACATGTCTAGATTCTTCATGATACTCTCCAGAGTGTTCTCATATTCTTGGAATTTAATCAGAGACTCCGTCAGTCTATTCTTGATTTGCAGGGCGGTGTTCAACAACGAATTGTAACTATCCTGAACATTTTGCAATTGCGTCTCTATAGTTGATCTAATAGTAGGATTAGCACCGACATATCTCTCTATTTGACCGTGACCCTTCAACTTTAGTTCGTCTAATACTTCCTGATACTTCTGAATTTCAGCTAACAATGCTTCATGCTGTTTGATTTGTTCGATCGTTTGTTCTTTGTTGGTAATATAGAGAGAATTGTGTGCCATTAGTTGGAAAGAGATTTGCAATAGCCACTTTTCTGTTTCTTGTAAAGCAGCATGATACGCATTGTACTCTTGCATCTCATTTTCCATAAACTTTTTCTTCTCGCCGACAAGTTCGGCTAGCGCCTTCCATCGGTCTAATAAATGTTTCGTTTCGTTTAGCGTCGTGTTATTTTTCGCCCATGCTGACAGTTCCGTTGCTTCCGTCATCAGATGATCTAAGTCGGATTTTTTATCGCGAATTTCCTCTTGAATGTGTTTGTATCGTTCGAGCATTGTTTTCATCTCACCAAACTCGCCCTTTGTATCTGGAGAACCTTTAACGATTTCTTCATTCTCTTCTAACCACTTTACAAATTTATTATGTGCTTCCGCATGATCCTCCCAGCGACTCAAAACCGACTTTACTTTAGCTTGAACTGTATTAAGATCTATGCTTAATTGCTCCCAATTTGAACGTAGATTAGCCATATCCGATCGTAACTGATCTTGTTGTTCTGGAAGAACCATGTTTATTGCTTTTGCAAAAGCATTCTGCAACGTCGATAGTAGATGTTGACCTTCCGTCACGCGCGTCGCCACCAGCTGAATTAAAATAATTTTATCGTTATTAGATAAAATTTATTTAGTTAATTTATATTTGTTTAAATTTCGCTACCATATATATTTAATTAATAAATCTAAATAATATTTATTTTAGTTTATTCTAATATTTTTTATTAATATACAAATTTTAAAAAGTATATATCTATTAAAAAAAAAAATAAGGCACGTACGAATTTATATTTGTATGACATATTTTTTTATTAATACGATTAATAAAATAATCTAGTAATATATTTCATCGAATATCTCTTGCAAAAAATTTTCTGTATTTTTTTTTTCAATAAAACTCACCCTCAAGGTTTCTAATTTATCCCTTGCCCAAGCCGTATCTCCCACACCGATACAATCTTCTACCGAGCCTTGAGCAGTACGTAACCAATCCTCCATCTCCTTTTTGGCTTTTAAGAATTCAGTATGATCAGCGAGGTTCTTCTCAACTTTGAAGACGAGCCCTTGCACATCGGTCAATAGCTGTGTATACGCTGACTGCAATTGCACCGTCTTATCTCGCGCCCAGCTGCAAGCGCTAATCTCCAATAAAGCTTCACATTTATCATTCAAGTCTTCCATGACAGGTTTTTGTTTAATTGCCTCTTCCACCAAATATTTACAACGCTCTAAATCCTCTGGAGTTTTGTTATCTTTAGTCTGTTCGTCTGCAATCTTCTTTTGGAAGTGGTCTATCCATCGCTTCATGCCATCTAACGTATTCGTGAACTGGGACCAGCTTGAGATGCAGTTGGCAAGAGTTCGTTGCGAATCGTGGCATTGTGCTTGCAAGGATTTCCAATCGGCTTGTATTTGTTTCATGTCTTGCTTAATGGAATCTTGGCCCTCGGGTCCCGTCTTAGAGATCACAACGTCGCTTAGCTCGATCACTTTCGAGATCAATGTGTCGCCTTTTGACAAGGATGAGATGATTTGATTGACTTTATTCTCTCGTTCGATAATTCGTTCTTTTTCGCCATGAGTATCACTATATTGTTGAAGTTCGACTTTTGTATGACGCACCCAGTCACCTGCCTCGTTCAGAGCTTGTTGGAATTTTTCGTGATCTTTGACTTGATCTTCCAAATTCTAAAATAATTAAAATAACAATATTACAATATTATTATATTATATTTCTGTTTTCAATTAAAAAAAGTAGTTCTACTTACATGAATTTTTTCAGAAATTAATTTCTTCAAACTATCATATTTATTGATTGTCAGTTCGTACGGACTTTTGGATATGCTGAGATTTTCAGTAAGACGAATCTTCAAGCGATCCACTGTTTCGCCATGACCGTAAATATCTTTTTGCAAGATCTTATATTTTTCTAACAGAGCACGTTTCTCACTGAGATCGTTTCTGTATACGTCTCCTGGTTGAATCTTGCCTTCAACTTCCTCCAACCAATCCGAAATAAGTCGGTGAATTTTGTTGAGCTCCTCCAACATACTTGCTCTTGCTGATAGTCTTTGTCTCACATCTTCGACGTCGACTAATAGCTTATCAAATTCGCTTTTTAAGTTCTCGGTGTCTTCTTGAATCTTTGCTGCGCCGTTTTGTTCCGTGTTCATAATGACTTTTTCTTTCAATTCCAGGGCGTAACGCAATTTGTTCTGACCTTGCTCCAACGTCTGTCGAATAGTTTTACACGTGTGTAACTTGTTGTTAACTTCAATTAATGTACTGGGAATATCTTTGCACTCGCTTAACTTGTCTCGCGTGCGCTCTATCCAATCTTGACATTCTTGGTATAAAGTATTATGTTGTTGATGTTCCTAATTAACATTTTAGAAAAAGTGATGAAAATGTTTTATATATATATATATATAT